CGGAGGAATTTGACTTTCCTTTACCATAATCTTAGGGTTTTTCGTTTCGTCACGACGATTTCGTGAAAGGGTTAAGGTTTTTTATCTGTTGAGAATTGGGGAAGAAGGAAGGAAGAGACAAGAAGAAGAGGGAGAGAAAAAACAAAAGGTGAGGAATTGACGGCTGAGATTAATTTGGATAAAAAGAATAAAAATTTGATTATTCTGGAAGAATAACACGTGGAATATAACAAGTCAGACGATTGCAGCTTATGATAGCATTGACCCGTGACCGACGTGGCATGAGTCCCTTGCCTTTAGTGACGTGGCGTGTACTGATTGGTTGATCGGATTATCCGGTTGTGTCGGATTCAGTTGGGAATATGCTGGAATGGGAAGAATCTGGTCCTACGAGGCATATGGGTAATGACAATGACATCGTAAGGAAAATGATATAAGTGGACTTATTTGGACCTTGATAAGGCCCATTAACGACTCAGAAATTGGCCGACTTAGCCCAAACAATCATTGGACGCCACGTGGAGAATCAAGGGTCGCAAGACGATTGATTTGATCTTTGGTTCAGTTTTGGTATCAGGCTTTTCCGGTACAGTTTTGGTTTAGTTTGGTTTTAAGTCATGTAACTAGTATTGGTTTGGTTAAACCGAATTAGACACTCTCCAATACTGAAGCATTCTGGTTTACAATTATGGGTTTGAATGTTATTACAATCTGCAAAACTATTAATGATGTATAAACAACGTAATAGAATAGAGAATAATCAACACTAAAGTGATTTTTTTTTCTTTTCTTGGGCGAGCTTAGGGATTAAACAAGTAAATTAAAACCTGAAGTTACAATAAATAAAAATCCTTACTTCAATATCAAAAAGCTTACCAAAGGGAAATGATAAGAAAATATTTCGAATCTGTCTAAATGCTGAGTATACAATGTATATGGCTTAATTTAATTAAGGCTAAAAGTTATGATTAATATTACTCTGTCTAAGATTAATTAGCTCCAGATTTAAGCTCACTATGTGCATGTAGAACAGAAACGTGATTCAAAAAGCTACGTTGAGAAAAACTAGACCAAACTAAACTTTATAATACTATAAATCACTTAGCTCATGTCAATTGGTTATAAATAACACAATTATTGTTTAAACTTATGTTGGGGAAAATTATCCAACTCTGATATGTGAATATATACATACACAATCATTGTATTATAATTTAGTGTAATTATATATGTCGACTGATACCGATGGCTAGCAGTTAGAGCGTAGTACACAATAGTTACAGCAATTGCTATAATTAATCAACATTACAAGACAACGAAAATGATGGACAAATGGTGGTTTTCTCTTTTGGCTACTAGTGTTAGATGACACTTTACGTCCTCTTTTCTATATGGAAGATTACGTGGATATATTGAACTTTCTTTCAATCTCTATCAATTACTAATCCATACGTGTATACACAACATTTGATCAATTAATATTTACACTTAAAGGCTAGATTATTGGACTATAAATTCTTATCACTAAGTGGACTAATAATTGGTAAGAAAATTCTTCTACCCATGTGATAGCTTCAAAGATCCAAACTTTTTTTTTATTTCAAATATCCAAACTTTTTGTTTTGGTATGTACTGAGTTTAGGATCCAAATTTCAGTTTGCATATTACATTGTATATTGTAAATTTGATTTATAAAAAAACCTTAAAAGTTCTATAGTGAGTGAATAATATTTGATCGGTCGAACAAATCCGAGTTAGCTATGATATCTTTCAATATTCTCTGAACTTCTTTTCTAACACCGAGAAAACAAAACTTTGATTAATTTTTAGAATTACAAAAATGATGCTCCTTCTGTTATATTTTATAAGATTTTTTAGTTAAAAGTGCGAAGATTAAAAAACTAT